TGGTAACACCTTGTAGAAATCTAATAAGTTGTATAAATTTTTTTCGTATTAAAATTTCAGATTATTGTTTTCTTTTTGCTTTGTAGCCTGACATTTAATGTATTCAAGTGGTTAATGAGGTCCGAAAGGAACTCCAAGTTTAGTTCTTTTAGTCAATTATTGTCTGCCGTTTGCATAAAAATTTTATAATAATTCCTCATGAGGGTCAGGCTTATCTTATCTGAACTACGAGGGCCGGTCCCCCACTACTGAATGCCCGCGAAATTGCCCGCGAGATTGCCCGCGGGCAACCGAGGCTGCCCTTGCCCGCCAGCCCTATGCATTATTTATGCGTTATTCTGTATTTGAGATATGCATTATCTTGTATGATTATATGTTAGAGAGTTCCAAAACAACAAGCAGTGAATGAGGGAGAATGTAAAAGTTTAATTGTAATTTTATTTTGTTCAGTATGATGTACGGTATTCTACAGGGAGGTAATGAAATTATATTTTATTTTGTTTAGTATGGGGTAGGATACTGTATAATAAAATATTCTGGGAAGTGTACTGTAACGAAATAGGATATTCTGTAGTTCATTATAGGAACCATACATCTCATTTTTTATTTAGTTCAGTATGGGGTAGGATATTTTTTATTTTGTTCACTATGGGGTGGGATATTTTTTATTTTGTTCAGTATGTAAAATATTTTGTAGCTCATTATAGTAGGAACAGGATGAAAATGCGATAAAATATTACGATTGATTTAATCAAATTGGAATCATCGATGAGATCCTGCAGTTCAAAACAACTATAAACGGTATACACATTATACTCGAATGAACGCACCTTTATGTACTATTGTATCCAATAGTATACATATACGTATATATTCTTTGTATATAGTTATTTGATTTGAAACCATGTTTGTAACCATTTGAAACCATCACAGACGATGAAAACGACGCATTATTCTTTCTTAATATCACAAATTTACTTATTGTTTTATATACATTTTTTAACAGCTTGTTGTATTTAAGAGTCAATAAATGTAAATTTAGTAAATATCGATTTGGGATAGGTAAAAGAGTATAAAATTTGTTATATGTTTTTTGTTAACAAACTCGCCCTATCTTTATCTATCTGTCTCTTCTGATAAGAGATTCAGAGTTCACAGGATTCAGTGTAGCAACTATATTTTATTAATAAGTCCTCCTCATAATGTCTGAAACTCCTGGTGTAGATATTTTGCAACCGTTGCCAATTGATAAATGGAACCTTCTTCAAAATAAGCTCAAATATAAATGGCCATATTATGCATATGTAGGTATAAAATAGTTAATAATGTATAAATGTTATGTAACCGCTCTACTTGCAGCATTATTATTGGATTGAAACTAGTCTTAAATGGAAAAAAAGGGATCCAAATATTGCAATTGAAATATATTGCCCCTATGGAAACTATGAAAATGGTACTTTTATTGGAATAAACCATGTAAGTACCTCACCTTTTGTATATTTACAAATAAATTATGATAGAATGAATACGTATTTAGTAATTATTTTAATATCGTTTATGTTCACATTTTAGATTGGATTTTGTTCAATAGTGTTATTGACATTAGATCCAAATGATGAGATCTTAAACAAAATGTTAACAGAAACTAATATAATTAATTGGAATAAAGAAATATGTTTTGCTTCAGTACATGGATCTATTGCATCTAACGTTCTTTCTTCCATAGAAAATCTTAAGAGTTTAAAAAAAGTGAAAACAAGCCATGCATTTTCATTTAATTATTATTTTAAATCTGCAGAAGATTGTGCAAAAGTAGAGATAAAGTATTATTTGCTTATTTCTATCAGCATGCTCAAAATGATCAATCAACTGATCATTACGCTAGAACAGTGAGTAATGATTTGTTATTTTTCTCTTTAGGGTTCCAGATGGATGCTACACACGATCTTTAAATACATCAGATGTACCATTGATAAACTCAGTATGGCCACATAGAAATCCAGTAAACCCTGAGTTATCTATGAAATATTTAAGTACAGTGATAGAATTGAATGGTGGAATAGGGCTATGTTTAAGGGAAGATGATACTTTAGTTTCTTGGGCTATGCAACCTAATTGGTGTACATTAGGAATTGTACAAACTGTGGAAGAACATAAAGGCAAAGGATATGCGAAAGTAGTGGTAAATTTGTTTGCAAAAAAGCTTGGAGAAGAAGGAATTCCTGCAGTATTATTTATTGTACAAGGGAATGTTCCATCTGAAAAAATGTTCAAAGGTCTTGGATGGCAGGTGATTTCACCAATCATGTGGATTGAATGTGGAATAATTGAAAAGTCAAAAGAGGAATAAATTTGAACAATTAAGGTGAATTGTATATAAGACAATTTTATTTTCGTTAATAAATGCTAATTAATTTATATATTACCAAGCGCTTATCTTTATGACATCCATGATAAGAAA